CTAAAGACATTCACGGTTATTCATTTTGAATGTTTTTTGTGATAGAGACCTAAAATTTGTCAAGGAAGTATTTCATAAGCTGTAGGTATAAGTCAAGAACGGATTCTGCGCCAGCGGTGGATTAGAGGGGGACTAATGGCACTCATGAGTTTGTACGAAATTCCTTTATTTATACAATGCAACACCCAGAATTATTCATTGAATTTCGATGAACATTTTTTATCAGTATATCTAAGACTTGTAAAAGTGTGATCAAAATTATAGCACTCTAAGGGCCGATTTCACCAACATTAATATTAGGGACCAATGGGAAAATACCTTATCGAAATGCAGTTTGACAGAAGCTGTCAAAAGTCTCTGAATATTAGTGATTTCTATTGAAATATTGAATAAAATCGTGAAAATTCGACTGTATTATAAACAAGACACTTTTTGATTCCAACATGATGCTTTTGTACAGAAAAAAGAGTACAACTTTAATGTATTTTGATATATGATATAGGTTTACATTTAACAATCCGTTAACCCCCTCAGCAAATGGGAATGCGGCAAATAATAGGTCGATTTTCTAGCTGTTAAATTTGTAGCAGATTTGGATGTTTGTTAATGCATGGACTCTCAAATTTACCAACTTCAATATACTGAAAGTTATCATTACATACCTGTTGAATAGTGTGGATTTGTCTATATTTTGCAAGAAAATAGAATATAAAATACATTCCATCCAATTCCTCATCTTCCTTTACGTCATAATAGTAATCATTTATTAATTTATGGGTTAATGAATTTCTTCAAAGCAATAAAAACAGTATGTCCTCTCCATCCTAAAACACAGATAATATGTGTAAAACGTGTGTATCCCTATATCTCCCTGATGCATAATGCAATTACAATGGACATAGACAAAAAATTATGAAAAATGTTTCACAAATAATGTCTTTTAAGTCCAAAAATCAAAAAAACTGTTAATGTTTATTGTTGGTCTATTTTTCTTTTTTGACTGACGGGGATATCTATATGTCACTCGCAGGGTTGCCAAGTCTAACGACGATCACGTCCCGTGGTGGAGGGTGCGAAATGAATCTTTTACATTTGAGGGTTTTGCATTTTTTTCGTGAAAATTTACTAGGTATCATGATTATAAGCATCTTTCATAGATTGTCCGATCCGGAATTTATGAAAATATTTTTGGTATCATCTAACCGTTGCAATCAGTGCACAAACACTGTAACATATGATTTATAGCATAACCCGCTGCCCTATCAATACAAATTCAACATACAGGTCGCCTAGCCGTGGGGATGCAGTGGTCGGGATGAATATCACGGCAGTCACTGATGATTTGGGCATGTCTGGTAAGAACGTATGACGTGAAACTCGCTAACTTCACAAATTTGAAGATTTTGTACAATTTCTTTGAAAATGATGAAAGATATGTCTGATTTGGAAGGGTAATGTCGTAGCCAAATGGCAGTCACTCTTTCTGACACAGTCCGGATCGAAAGATGACGATACTCGTGAAATGTATTGATACTTCTAAATATAGGATCCTATCGAACATTCCTACTGTCAAGATGTATAATCCAAGGTACCGACGAAGCTATTTTGCGGCGTCATGGAAATAATTTTAAATTTTCATTTGCATTTTTTCAAGTGTTGTGCAATGATTTTGGGAAAAATGTCACGAATAGTCTTATAAAGCATAGTAAAGTATATTTCAACAGTTGGCGGAACTTAACTCCACTGGGACCAGGAGGATGAAAGGGGATATTAATGCACAATCTGGCAACCCTGTGGGACCCTCACAAAATGGCCGCTGAGAACCACACAAATCACCGTGTTGTGATTGAATAGCATGGAATTAAACCTTCAGAGTATGTTTTGTGACTGGTACCAAGAGTTGATAGAGCCCACACATGTGTCACTCCTTGAAATGCAATAATCAGCTGTATTCAAATAACGTCTAATATAAATATAACCCAGAATATCTACTCACTGAAAAAAGAAAAATATTGCAAATTTCTAGTTTTTCTGCAGGTTTTAGGTTTGCTGGTAGCTCTACGACATATATTTGGGTATTTCTTAATCGCTGTGAATATAGTGTGGATGGTTGTTAAGTTCCTGAACAACGAAAAATATTCAACTTTATGGATGTATGGATATTAAAAAACCTGATAGCTTTGTGGGAATATCAATCTAAGGTGCCATAATGGTTCTGATGAACGGCAAGTAAATGAATGGATGTTTGGAAACGAACAATATCTTTTGGTAGAGCCTGTCATCAAGTAGGTGCTTAATGGCTATCTGCAAGAGGTTTATAGGAAAAAACACCCAAAAACATACCAAGTGAAGAAAATAATATAAACCTGAATAAAAAATCAACAATAGTAATTAAAACATGAATTTTATTCAAAAATCGAACGCTTTTTTAAATTTTGACTAAACTACGTAGTCATGCCATAAGTTCTGTCCCTCGTTTTCAAACAAGTGTAGACCTGTTAATACTTGTCCGATTGTTTACATTGTGGTGTCAGTTGATTAAGCGCTTTTCGGGTAATTACATATACCTCAGTTTGTATTGATCTCTCGAAGCATAACGATGGAGTGGGGCAAGGCAGATAACCGTATTGCAGTGATAGCTTTACATAAGTGTAATCACAGTGCTAGTCAGATTTTTGAACTCTTACGCGGCCTTCAAATATCGCGTAAATTTGTGTCTAGGACCATTCAGCGGTACAATGAGACGTCCTCTGTTGATAACAGGCCAAGAAGCGGAAGACCTCGTCAAGTAAGGACTCCAGCAGCCATCAAAGCCGTAAAAGCCAGGATTCAAAGGAATCCACTCCGGAAGCAGAAGATCCTATCCAGGGAAATGAAGATTCCTGTCCGGACGATGTCGCGCATCATTAAACAAGACCTAGGGCTAGGGGCTTACCGGAGACGTACGGGCCAGCGACTTACGGCCACCTTGCGACACATCAGGGCGACAAGATCCAAGAAGCTCTTGGAGAGGTACGCAGCTGGGGGATTCCGAAAGATTTTGTTCACGGATGAGAAAATCTTCACCATAGAAGAAAAATTCAACCGACAAAATGACAAAGTGTATGCAAGGAGTTCACAGGAAGCTTCGGAGATCATTCCGAGAGTTGAGAGAGGCCACCACCCTGCGTCAGTCATGGTTTGGTGGGGGGTGTCCTACGAAAGGGTCACTCAGCTCCATTTCTGTAAACAGGGCGTGAAAACAAAAGCGGCAAACTATCAGAGCGACATACTGGATCCTATCGTCAAGCCTTTAAGTGGTACATTGTTTGCCAACCAACCCTGGGTCTACCAGCAGGATTCCGCCCCCGCTCACAAGGCTAAGAGTACGCAGCGCTGGCTGGAAAGCAATGTGCCAGAGTTCATTGCTGCGGAAGATTGGCCCTCAGGGAGTCCGGACCTCAATCCTTTAGACTACAAGTTGTGGGACCTGCTAGAGCAGTTGGCCTGCTCCAAAGCCCACCGTAATATCGAGTCCCTGAAAGCGGATTTGATCCGATCAGCGGCAGCTATTCCTTTGGAAGCTGTGCGTGCAGTGATAGATGAGTGGCCCGCGAGATTGAAGCAGTGTGTGAAGGCCAAGGGGGGACATTTTGAATAAAACTGTTTGATTATGAATTCTAAAAATGTTGTCGAATAAATAATATCTTTCATATAAATATATCTTATCTTGTTTCATTTTTATCATGAGATTATCATGGGACAGAACTTATGGCACGACTACGTATATATAATTTCTTAATATTCAATCAGCTGGTGATGTTTCAGTGACAAGCTGTAATCTCATACTTTTGACAGTATTTTGTTTTCAACATTCCATAGCTATTGGTTGCTAAAATTTGTTGATTGGAACTTGAATCTCATTCGCTGTATTTGACGGACTGTTAGCCTATAGGTGGAGAATAACGGACTGTTGATTTGACAATCCTGGTGAAATCCACCCTTAGTATATTTTACAATCTAATCAGTCTGCTTGACTTGACTTGCTACACAATCTCATACGCTATTTTCCATGTAGCATCCTCCTGGAGGCGACCTTAGCGTCCACCAATTACACAATAACTATTTGTTGCAAGCTGGACCCCATCTACCTTAGGTAATAATCAAGTTCGGAGCCTTACAACAGCGAAATTACTATCTGCGGTTTTGTGGGTACGCTGAACCTAATTTGTAAGGTAATTTCCGCTCGCCGGAGTTACGGCAATAGCCGGGACAAAGTTTCGAGTAAATATATACCTACGAAGGTGTCCTGAATAGCTACATTGTGAACTAAATGATGTAACGTATACAGATAGAAAGGGCTTGTTCGACATACGACTGTGCATATATGGAATAGTTGTTACAGAGTTAGTGAACTATTATTGGCGTTTCGAATATCAGGAGCTCGTTTATATTATGTTATAGCGTATATTCTGATCTGTAATAGTTGACTTCATTTAAGTTGGCTTACATTGCTTATGACTAGGTAGCTCGCTGTTTATTCCAATATTATCAAAGTAGCTCAACACACTGAAAAGGTTGGCAACCACTGGTCTAAAGGTACGATATGAAAAGGCTTCGAAATCAAGCTCTTTCTCGTTTTAGACGAACGCACCAATCTGGTCATCGAGACTATTATAAACAGTTAAGAAACCTGACCACTTCTGCTATTAGAGCCAAAAAAAGGCATATCTGAGTTTAAAGTTTCAGCATTGCTCAGAAAAGGAAAAATGGGCTGAACTAAAAGAACTAAATATACTTACTATGCCCAAATATCACAAAATAATACTCCAAAAGAAGAATTGTTGCATTTCTATAACAACAAGTCCTTGCTTAATGAAACCTTCTCATTTTACCTGATCGACGAAGATTTTGTTTTAAATAGTATCCTCAGTATCAAGACGAAGGCTTTTGGCGTTGATAGCCTAAACGTTACCCTGGTTTCCTTGTGTTGCACTTTTATAGCTCCTTATATTACCCAGATTATAAATAGTTGTATTAAAAGGTCTTATTTTCCTAAAAGCTGGAAGCTGGCCTGTGTTCTTCCATTAGCTAAGGTTAACAGTCCATCAGAATTTGGTCAACTACGTTCAATCTTGCTTTTACCGACCCTTTCTAAACCTTTGGAAAAGGCAATCGCTATACAAGTTGCTAACTACGTTTTTGCCCACAATATCATCCCCCCTAGAGAGTCAGGGTTCAGAACCGGGTACAGTTGTTCCACAGCATTAACAGATCTTGTGGATGATGTCATCAGAGAACGGGATGCGGGAAATGCTACTGTCTTGGTGTTATTGGACTACACGAAAACATTTGACATGATTAATCATGAGATACTAGTGGCTATTTTGAAATATATTGGATTAGAGCAGCCGGCCTATGCATCAATAAATTCTTTTTTATCTGAAAGGATGCAGCGCGTGACTTTGGACGGGAACATATACATATACAGTTACAATTACATCCGGGGTGTCCCAGGGCAGTATTTTGGGTCCATTATTGTATAGCCTATATACTTTTAATTTCATGTCGCTAAGTTATTGTCAATATCATCTTTATGCTGACGACACTCAAATGTATGCCTCTTTTAAACCTGATCTGTCAGAACTTATAACAAACCGACTGAATACCGACTTGAATAGCCTTCTCGAAACCTCTGAAGATCACTTGTTAAAGATAAACCGTAGTAAATCGACGGCTATATTGTTTTGTAGTGATTCCTACAGAAACGTATTAGAAAATAATATTAAGCTCAAACTAGGGGACAATATAATATCATTTAGGGATTCCGTGAAGGATTTGGGCTTAGTGGTTGACTCTAAACTTAAGTTTAGGGAGCACATTACTCTGTCCCTATGAAAAGCATATTCAATGTTAAAAATAATTTACCCCCTTAGACATTACCTATCACAAAATATACTAAGTGACATATAAATTCGAACAGCCAGTTTAAATAGTTTTATTTTAATAAAATTTTGTATAAGTACTTAATGAAGCATAATAAGTAAATGATAAAAATTTCAAAATGATTGCACTGCTTTAAAGCCTTTTGACCTTTAATAATGTGTGGATGCACCCTGATGTGCTACGCATTCTCCAACGCGCCTGGTCAATGTCCTCCTGTGGTATCTCATTCCAGGCAACCACCAACTCCTCTCGAAGTGCTTCTAGAGTCTGAGGAGGACGTTGCAAATTGAGCAATCTCCTACCCATCATATCCCACACGTGCTCAATTGGGGATAAGTCGGGAGATCTTGGTGGCCATGTTAACAATGTGACATCATTATGTTGAAAGAAGTCTATTGTGACTCTTGCAACATGTGGTCGGGCATTATCTTGTTGGAAAGTTGGATCTGCCAGGGTGTCAAGATAGGGTAAAAGATGGGTTCTAGAACTTCGTGGATATAACGCTGCGCGTTCATGTTACCTCTGATGAAGATTAAAGGTGACCTGGAACCATAACCTATAGCACCCCAAACCATAACTCCAACAGTGTGATGAACAAAACTGTGGATTCCTCCTTTCACCACGTCGCCTTCTAACCCTGGCACGACCATCGTGCATGCCTAAACAAAATCGAGACTCGTCACTAAAGACAATACTGTTCCATTCTTGATCCCAGAGTGACCGTTGTCCACTCAAGGCAATTACGTCGGTGTTCTCGAGTTAAAGGGAGGACCCAGTGTGGCCGGTATGAAGACAAGCCAAAACTTCTCATTCGTCGGTAAACACTTCGCATGCCAATAGGTCTTCCGTGTTCTGCAAACCATTCATTTGCAATGGACCTGGTAGTGGAGAAACGGTCCCTTAAGGCCAATAATCTTAGGCGGCCATCTTCACGGTCTGTTGTTCTACGGCGGCGTCCAGTGCCCCTTGCTCTTTGCGTACGGCCTTCTCGAAGCCATGCCTGACAACACCTAACCACAGTGTCTACACTTCTTTGCACTCTAACTGCAATTGCCCGAAAAGAAAGTCCAGCTTCCCGAAGTCCCACTATACGGCCCCTATCAAACTCACTAAGTTGACGAAATCGTACAGGTCTCCGTACTCTAGGCATCGTAACCGATCGTAAAGGATGTCAAGAACCAAAAGCCGCCAACGTTGATTCTTTACTGCGGCTGAAATATTCATTTTTAGAGCGTTAGTGAATTAAAAAAAAGCGGTATAAAAACCGGAATGTCCAACTGATAAGGCTGAACATTTTTTCACTTGTTATTTACAGTAAGATAAATACATTCACCAACTTTTATTAAAATAAAACCATTTAAACTGGGTGTTCGGATTTATATGTCACTTAGTATACTAAAGCCACGCTCTGCGAAGCTTTAGTGTTGTCCCACTTCAACTTTGCTGATATGGTATAAGGCCTATTTCTTGATAGTGTGGAACTAAAACGGGTTCAAAAAGCTCAGAATTCTTGTCTGAGACTGATATTTGGCATAAGGGGTAGACAAAAAGTATCCCACAAACTATCTGAACTGGGAGGGTTGAATATGGCTCAGAGGCGTACCTTGCACTCTACTTCCTTTTTTACAAGATTATAAAATATAAAATCCCTCCTTATCTTCACTTAAATATTAGTTACCGGACATAATCTAAACATTTGAAGATTGAATTTGATTACAACAATAAAGAATCATTTAAGAAATCATTCCCATATCAAATTGCCTTTTTTTTCTTAAGATTAAAACATTACTAATTATCAATGTCTTAATAGCCATTTGTCTTACTATAGAATTTTTTAAATTTGTTGGTTTTTTTTTGCTCTAGCAGCTGCTTCTTTAAGGGGCAAGCTGAAGTATTATTATTATATTCTGCGGTATTATAACTGTGTGGGTCAGTATACCAGTCAGGCGCCGCATGGTGTGTAGGTCACCCTAGTTTATAAACAAACCACAATCTGAAAAACTGAAATTGGCAGATTCCAACAGCAGCAACGCAGTTATCGATTTGGCGTTAGTTCACAGAACGTCGCCATCGTCCTCGATGTTTCCATCAGAGCTGCAGTCGTGCATGCGATATCTACGAACAAAACACTTGACAGGGCGGTACCAAATGAATAGTATCTTTTATTAACTCTTTTTACACGTTTTGGGTGGTGTTTTATCGCAAATGAGCATCGTTATTTCACACGTAGTTGTTTCTGAGCAACAAAGCCCTAACTTTCACACCTTGTATACGAAGCATCTTCAGCATCCTGTGCGGAATCCAAAAATTGGATAGTAGAGAGTAGTCCTTAAAATTCAGAAGGTTGGTATAATATTACTCCTGATATCCCAGGTTTTCCTTCATCTAACACCTGCTTTCTGAGTAAGAGGTAGGTGTAGTCCTCCATGGGACACTCTGTATAGTAAAAACGTGCAAGCTGGTTTTCTATTCTACTTGTTACATTCGCAGAGGCATCCATTCAGAGTGTCTACCTTTTCGTTCATCCTTACTCCGGCAGCCAATGGCGAGGTGCACAAATCGAGTCCGGCGACAAAGAAAGAAGTGTTTCCAAGACTCGAATTGAATTTTCCCGGAAAGCTATCATCACCGGAACAAATGTTTATCTTCAGCTCAGACCCGGAGGCGTTTTATCCGCAGCCGTTACAAGCAACGCAGACGAAAGACCATCGGTTCTAATCTCGGGAATGACCGCCTGGATACTGAAAACGGCGTTACGTCAAGTGGACGAGCGATCTTGTCCTGAATTAGTTTGGATGATCGGGCGATTAAGCGCTATTGGCCATTTTGCTTACGTTTGTCACAATACGCAGATGATTTGTGCGTTCTGAATGATTCCAAACAGCAAAACATAGCCATCGTGAACGCAGAATTGGCAATAAAGGAAAGATTTGAGTATTATGGTCAGTGAGGCCTTACTAGTAATAAGCACAAAAATTTAGCGGGAATGGGAAGAAGAATGGGAAGATAACGGTCGTACCCCCGTCATACCTTGATACACCAGTAAGGACGGATCGTTGAAGAAAGAAGTCTTAAGGCCAATTGAGCAGCTTAACTTCTGTCACCAATCACTGTCTTCAGTTTGTACATTTTTATAGAAGAGAAATTAAAAATAATTGAATCAGGTGTCTACTTACTGCTGTGTTCCCACTCAGAAGTAGGTGTAGAAGCGGCATTCTTAAGTTAAAGAGGTACCTTAAAAAGATATATACTATACTAAGTGACATATAAATCCGAACACCCAGTTTAAATGGTTTTATTTTAATAAAAGTTGGTGAATGTATTTATCTTACTGTAAATAACAAGTGAAAAAATGTTCAGCCTTATCAGTTGGACATTCCGGTTTTTATACTGCTTTTTTTAATTCACTAACGCTCTAAAAATGAATATTTCAGCCGCAGTAAAGAATCAACGTTGGCGGATTTTGGTTCTTGACATCCTTTACGATCGGTTACGATGCCTAGAGTACGGAGACCTGTACGATTTCGTCAACTTAGTGAGTTTGATAGGGGCCGTATAGTGGGACTTCGGGAAGCTGGACTTTCTTTTCGGGCAATTGCAGTTAGAGTGCAAAGAAGTGTAGACACTGTGGTTAGGTGTTGTCGGGCATGGCTTCGAGAAGGCCGTACGCAAAGAGCAAGGGGCACTGGACGCCGCCGTAGAACAACAGACCGTGAAGATCGCCGCCTAAGATTATTGGCCTTAAGGGACCGTTTCTCCACTACCAGGTCCATTGCAAATGAATGGTTTGCAGAACACGGAAGACCTATTGGCATGCGAAGTGTTTACCGACCAATGAGAAGTTTTGGCTTGTTTTCATACCGGCAACACTGGGTCCTCCCTTTAACTCGAGAACACCGACGTAATCGCCTTCAGTGGTGCAGACAACGGTCACTCTGGGATCAGGAATGGAACAGTTTTGTCTTTAGTGACGAGTCTCGATTTTGTTTAGGCATGCACGATGGTCGTGCCAGGGTTAGAAGGCGACGTGGTGAAAGGAGGAATCCACAGTTTTTTGTTGAAATTCATGTTCATCACACTGTGAGTTATGGTTTGGGGTGCTATAGCTTATGGTTCCAGGTCACCTTTAATCTTCATCAGAGGTAACATGAACGCGCAGCGTTATATCCACAAAGTTCTAGAACCCCATCTTTTATCCTATCTTGACACCCTGGCAGATCCAACTTTCCAACAAGATAATGCCAGACCACATGTTGCAAGAGTCACAATAGACTTCTTTCAACATAATGATGTCACATTGTTACCATGGCCACCAAGATCTCCCGACTTATCCCCAATTGAGCACGTGTGGGATATGATGGGTAGGAGATTGCTCAATTTGCAACGTCCTCCTCAGACTCTAGAAGCACTTCGAGAGGAGTTGGTAGTTGCCTGGAAAGAGATACCACAGGAGGACATTGACCACCTGATCAGAAGCATGCCTAGGCGCGTTGGAGAATGCGTAGCACATCAGGGTGCATCCACACATTATTAAAGGTCAAAGGGCTTTAAAGCAGTGCAATCATTTTGAAATTTTTATCATTTACTTATTATGCTTCATTATGTACTTATACAAAATTTTATTAAAATAAAGCCATTTAAACTGGGTGTTCGGATTTATATGTCACTTAGTATAAATGCCATATAAATTGCAACACCCAGAATTATTTATTGAATTTTGTAGACATATTAGCTGATAAAGTGTTGAAGGCATTCTGAGTCGTACTTTTTTTGAGAACGCTTTTTTCGTCATATCAGAATCCGAACAATATGAACATGTTTACTTAATATTCAGTGATTTTTCTGTGTTGGTTTCATTTGTTTCAGTTTTGTTTCATTACATCATCATCCCTTGAGCTCGCAGACGCTCCAATTTCACAGAACTTTCCGAGTTTGAGAGAAGAGATTGGAGAAGCTAATCTTATTTCTTCCCTTGAAAAAATTTGAAAGAACACAACGCAAAGTAATATGTTTTTAACAAAGACATTCGTGCAGGATGCAGGTGCAAAAATCCTCGTTTTCGACTCGGATTTTTGTTGCCAACAGCACTCAGGCTTCTAGTTAAAATAATAGCAACATGTTTTTGCGATATTTTTCCGGAAAAATTAGAAGCCTTTATGACATTACTTATGATTATTACTTCATTGTTGGTAAAAGCCTAGCCTAGCTCGTATCGCCACAACGTTAGAACACCATCAAGTGCTAAATAAATTGACTATGAGTTGGTTGTCATACCAGAAGACCAGTAGTCCACAAAGAGTAATTGTGTAGTACAGGGTGCGGCAGAGAGGACAGACGTTTTTGGGATGGGTAGTACCCTCTGCCTCCGTCTACGAGAGAGGTGGGGAGGGTGCCGTTTGACTCGTGAGATCCTAAACTGTATCCATCGAAGAAACAAAGTAAAATCAAACATATACACCCGTATTGCACGTGATCAAGAACTTAACCGTAGGAGACGCTACAGGGCCGTATCAAGCTATTGTGACTGATCTATCAAAAAATGTCGTACAAGATATGTGTTGCTGTAAATTCTATCAAAAGCATAGTAAATTATCAGGAATATACCACGCCTTTCTAATCATATTTCGACATTAGGAATCAGTGCAAAAAATTCTGTATTCACCATTTCAGCAAAATGTTACTAAAACGCACACGAAAAAAACTTATGGACCATCTCAATTGAAATTGTTCATATTTTATTATTAACTTACATATATACCCAATAATATTTACAAATCAACCTTCTATTCACAATGCCGAGCAATTTTTTTTGAGCAAATAGAAACTACAGACGTAGTAGTAGTAGTACAAAAGTTTATTACAGACTCCATAAAGTTTGTTAGTTTGATTGCTATTAAAATTTACATGAGAAATAGGAAGAAGGTCAAAATGGCAGTATTATGCTTTGGAACTCCTAAATTAACCCTAATTTTGTGTAATTATAAATTTGGAATTTCCACATTAATAACTAGAAACTTACACTTTGATTGCAGTCTATAATGAACTTACCTGTCTTGCCAAAAAGCCCGTTAAACTGCCAGTCTTAATGGTATCAATCGATTTATATGCTGTATTCCGAGGAGCTTGAATCATCAGAATTGTTGATGTCAATTATAAGGGGTTCAACTTGGGTGTCAATGATATTGTCCATATCCCACATTTTGGTTTCAACCTTCTCTTGGACATGGTCAATACATGTTCTCCATTTTGCTGGCGTAATTCTATCGACAGCAACATCAAACAGTTTTTTAAGGTCAGAAAACTTAAAAGTGCTGTTATTTGACGCCACGTATTGCTTGATGTCGGCCCAAATCAACTCGATAGGATTCAGTTCGCAGTGATAGGGAGGCAGTCTGAGAATCGTTTTATTTTGGTTTTTGGCCATTTTGTCAACAATTTTTAAATCATATTTATACTTATGTCGCTTGACTATATTTATCAGCTCAGCTTTGACCATTGTTTGGTCGAAGTCGATCTTCTTTGAGACAAGCCACTGTTGAATGTCTGCCTTTTTGGTGGCCATTGTTGGAATTTTTTCCAATTTTCTGGAGTGGTACGGGGCATTATCCATCACAATAATTGCGTTATCATCAAGTGTCGGCAAAATTTTTTTGAACCAATTTTCAAATGAGTTACCATCCATTTCTTCGTGATAGTCTCCAGTTTTTTTGGATTCAAATGCCCACAATGCTTCAGGAACAAATCCATCTACGCTACCTATGTGGCAAATGATCAGGCGTTTTCCCTTGCCTGAAAGTAATTAGTTATTTTACTTCTCAGCGAGCGCACTAAATGACGAAATTAAGCAACTTACTCTTTTTAGGTTAGCGTAGGATAGGGTCTTAGATTAGTTTTTGGGTGAAGGAAATACTCAGAAGCTTGGATGAGATAGCAAAACTGAGTTCGGAGCTTCCAAATCATTGATTCGATCAGAAAATGAATTATCTGCATCCAAAAAAGTTCATATACTTCGAAACTTACCTGCAGGATTTTTCAATCCCGTCGAAAGGCCATCTAAAAAAGCCTGCCTTGAGGACCTCACAGATCTGTCTACCCAAACCTTTCCCTGCGTATGCCCCGCGTTCACCCATGTTTCGTCTAAATAATAAATTTTTCTTCCTTCAGCGCGGAATTGCCTAATTTTTCTAAGGTATTCTCTCCTCCAGATAACAATTTCCTCCTTTTCTATCAATAAACTATTCCTTCCTCTTTTCAAAAATCGAAAGTCTAGTTGTTTCAACAGCTTATGGAACGTAGATCTTTTAAAATTTGGCCGGTCCTCATCATCATTCACTTGCTTCAATATTTTATCTATTGTAGGTATTTCATTCCTGAAGAAAAAGTGATGTACTTTTCTTCTAATGGCACTTTTGTCAAAGTCATCTATTTTTTCGATGATTTTTTTTCTCGCTGGATATGTTTTGGCTCAGATAGTGAGTGATTTTGTCTATATTCCTTCAAGATTTTGTAAACACTTGATCGACCTACTCCAGAAATTTCAGCAACCTTACATACGATATTTTCTATAGCCAATCCACTATTCTCTTGCATCTGGTTCTTGTAGATATTTAGAATAATTTGTTTTTCACCTGCGCTAAGATGAAGCTTTTTAGCCCTTTTTCTGGGTGACGTTAAGCTGATTTCAACCACTTCATCAGCTGTATCTGTGTCAGACATTT